ATAAGATCTTTAAATTTATATTTCCACCGAATTATCTTTGTATAACTTGAAACTTCCTGTTAACACCATCTTGTAGTAGGTACTTTGTGTAGATGTGAAAAGTAATTTTTGATAATATTTATGCCTTAGATTTTAATTTTCTATAAGACTTGTTCTTTTTATTGCCCATTTCGATAATATAATCAACCAGTCGTGTTACCATAAATATAGGTATCAATGTTCTGCTATTGTATTGCAACTTTATGAACACAAAAGTACTATAGTGGAAATTTTTTTTCCAACCTCATAAGCATTACTCAACAGGCACTTGTGCTTGAGCTATTCAGTTTTTTTCATAACCAAAATAAGAATTAGCTATAAATTTTTGTCATGTAAACCTTAAATGTTTACATGAACTTAAAAATAATATTTTCATTTGACATGCTTTTAAATTCTTTAATTATGGAATCTTTAAAAGATACAAATTTAAACAGTGATTTAGTGTTTCTACATTGATTTTTAAATTGAGCCCATTATTATCATTCACAAATTTCTTCATACAGCACTTGTATCTGTGTTAAATATTTATAAAAATAATATGTTTTTGTGCTTTAACAACCTTTTAGTTTCCAGCAATTTACAGAGGTTCGAAAAAGATCAAATTATATTGGCACCTTAATAGAAAGAATTATCTTTTAATAATATTTTTATTTGTTCTATATTCAAAAACACAAATTACATTCTTAAATAACTTCCTTCTCTAATGTATTACTTATGTATTGAAAATAAAGTGATGCATTCTAAGGGAAACCATCGTCATCCTCTTCAGCCATCTCTTTAGCAAGTTCAAGATCTTGCTGTTCTCTTTCCCGGCGTTCTTCAGCACTTTCTAATTCCTTTCCATATGATTTGGGTGGATACCTCATTGCCTTAACACTCTGATTATGTAGCTCCAAACAGAATGAAATACGCTGATGGAAGGCCAGTTGAGGTTCTCTGGTGCAATAGAGATCAGAGCTTTCTTTGTTGCTCATATATCCCTTTTCTGGGTCAAGAGTAGCTTCAATAACACCATCTCTAATGGCCTTTGCAACAATAAATTCTGCATCCTCAGCAGAATCTAAGCCTAACTTTCTTGCTATGTCTTTTGGAGATATGCGAGAATATGAGAGCCCAATAGATCGGATAGCAGTCTTAATGACATTTTGTCTGAGTCTTAAGATCAAAGTAAAAGTATGATCAATGCGGAACTGCGGTCCATAATTTTCAAGTACCTCTCCAAATCTTTGTAGATTTCCTAGTCTTACTGCTTGAGTCAATTGGAAGTATGGAGCTAATGCCTTTCTTAGAGGAGCTTGACGGAATATAGCACGTTCTGGGATATCACCCAATAACAATTCAACAACAATAGCCAATTTTTGTACAGTTTGACGGAATCCAACTGCTGCAGTTTGTGGAGCTTTCCTTAAAGCTTGTACTAAATGTTTATGAGCATCACTGTATTCAAGTCTTGCTGCTTTTATTCTACCAAGATAATACAAGAACCTTGCCCACTCATTATTACTGGCATTCTCAGGAAATACAGATTTGCTGACTAATTTATCAGCTTGATCATATAAAGAGTAATGGAGATAATTCCGCAAAAGACAGTTGATCAAAACAGCTTGTCCTTCATAATCATTACGAAGAGTTGAGGTGCGTAACCGAGCATGCAATAAACCTCGTATCAATTCCAGCTTGTTTGTTAGTTCAAAAACACGTGAATGATAAAAATAACATTTAGCAGCAATTAAATCAAGAGTTCTTCTATTCTGTGCTGTTACTTTGTTCATTAACTGCTGGGAGCATTCGGTAGCCTCTTCTAATTTGTTGGTGTCTAACAATCTCAATAATACTAACAGGTGCACATAAACATCAACTTCTGGAACTGGACCTTTCAGGGCGCTTCTAGAGCGAGGGACTTCAATTTCAACGGCACCAGGCAAAGGGCTTTCTACAAGCGCAAGAATAGCCTCTTTTTCAGGGCTTGATGGATAGAGTTGGTTTATTATAGCACGAAGAACATTACCGTTCAATTTTCGCCTAGTACTAGGAATAGATCTCAACACTCGCATAGCAAATCTCGGCTCCTTAGACGATACAGCTTTATCAATTTGTCTAACATGTTCACGTAAATCTTGAACAGTTATTACATCGACATCTTTTTTCACTTCACTCATTTCCACGTCGTTTACCCCTGCAGGACTATCCACATTTTTCATTTCAACATCTTGTTCCACAGGCGCCATTTTCTTATTATTGGGTTTGTAATAAAACTTTAACAGATTTGCAAAATTAGGCTGTGACAATAAATGACTAAACAAATACCAAATGCTTGTTACTTGCTGATACCGATAATGTCTTTGTCTGTCAAAAAATTGCCGAGTAACAGCACAGATTAATAACTACGTAGCATATCTAACTCATTATATATAAAATGTACTCTGTGATGTGTTAACCGTAGACAGAGAAACCTATAGACTAATGATTAGCGTGGCATCGAGTAAGAAAGGACGATAACGTAGTTTTAGGTTATAAAATAGGCTTTTTTATGACTTTTAAACATATTTAGGTAAAATTTTAATTGTTCTAAGAACTGAACTGAACAAGATTCACTAATCTTAAGCTCACAAAACACTTTTTTTCTCACTTAAACCAACTTGTAAACTCTTGAATTGTTGTTGTTTAGCAAAGTGTAGTTTGCTAAACAAAAAAACAGGCACGGAAAAAGGGACAAACAATCACACCGCTCTGTCTCATTTTTATGCAAGACGTATGCATAAATCTATCTTTCTCGTGTGCGAATGCGAAAGAAGGCGTCAATTTATCTATAGGTTTCTTTGTCTACGAATAACAGTCATGGAGTGTGTCCATCTATAAGCAGTAAGTAACAGTTCAAAAACTCTCCACTACATCGCTCGAGTAGCTACAGGGTATGATAAATCGTCGTAAAATACGTCAAAAGTGATTTTGAAAATAAAAATTTTGAAAGCAATAAAAATGTGTGCACTAAAAAATTATAAAAATTTTCTTTAAAATTTGGACTGTAGCTACAGCGGCGTCACCCTTATTTAACGCTTTCCTACGGACACTTTTCTATACAGAGTCTGTACTTCTTACCTCTACACTCTATAATAACAGTGGTCAACAGCACTGACTTAGAAGTATATGGACTGGGCATATCTACATAATTAGCGTGACTACTTACAAAAGTCTGGCCAATAAATGGCCGCATTTTATAGGGTTGTAATTCAGCAATATGCGCAGCTGATATCGATATTTTAACTAATATGAATATTTTCTCATTTTATATAATCGGATTTGTTGTTTAATTTACTTTATTCCGTAGATACAGGGCTGAATTTTCAATCGTCAAATCTTATCTGAGGATTAAATGTGACTAACAGATTTATGGCATGTATGTAGATAGAAATTAAATTCAGCTTTTAGGTATAAAGAATTACTGGGAAGGAGATCCTTGATTACATATTATAGTATTTTAATATGAAATAATAATGATTAGTTGAGTAAAAATGAAATAAACTATTTTAAAAATAATACTTATTTATTATTAATTGTTATTAATAATTGTTCTGTACATAATTCATCACGAATAGTAAGTTTTAAAAGCATGTTATATATCATATTTTATTTAATTATTCAGATTTTAAATGAAAATTATTAATTTTTTTCGCAAAATTCGAAAATCTGGCATGATCATGTCAATGGTTAATTAAAAAATGCATCCCTACCATTATTCTTGAAATAAGTTTGAAGACATTTGCTTTGATATATGCTGAAAAAGATACAATATTATAAGTGAATAGTGACACAATCTAACTACTTCATTCATTGAATTACTGTCAAAATATAAAAGTATTTATAACACGTGAAGTGATGTAATTATACTTTATAAAATTATTTTAATTTAAAATCAATTGCCGTACGTTAGTTTTGCAAAAATTCAGAAACAATCAATGATTTCTTATATTTACGCGAACACTATACATTGATTAAAACTACTTTTACGGATTATATCGCGTTTTATTTATTTTTAATACCCGACGTTTCGGGTAGGCGTGTGTAACTCTTTACGGAACCGACTCACTGATCCAAATCACTGAAATGATTCATGAGATTGGTTCAGTAACAACGTTTCAAATGTATCATTTGGATCTGAAACATTCGCTTCGCTCTGTGCTCTTTTCACGCGACGCGTTGATCGCGAAGCGAGTTGGTTCCATTTCAAATGCATCATTTGGATCTGAAACTGGAACATTACTTCGCTCTGTGCTCTTTACACGCGACGCGTCGCTCGCGAAGCGACTGGGCCGTGAGTGAGAGAGCGGCGAGTGAGCGGGCGAAATAATCACAATCTATACAAGTCAGAAAGAGATAAAAAAAGAGTACTGTATCACTCAACACGTAGGGATTTTCGCTATCGTTATTCATGCACGTAAAAATGACCACTAAGGAGCTTACGTATCAAGTACTATACGGTCGTTTTTTGCATGTAATGTTTGCATTTAACAAGTTGTCATTTTACGTTGATATGGCACTTGTCAAATTGTTTATGTTATGTTCGTTCGTGCCTGTTTACAAAAACATACTGAGTTCGGTTTAAAGATTTCTTTGCGTAGTGATTAATATTGTGACTTACTTTCTTCCTTTTCATCATAAAGTTAGGGTTATGAGACTTCATGAGAGAATACTGTGTTAATAGACTTTGTTGTTTTATTTAAATGGATATTTTTCTTTGTGTAAATAGATATTGTTTTTCTGTGTAAATAGATTTAGTTTGCTAGTTTTTAGTGACTTTTGTCTCGGACTCTTAGTGAACAGTGAATGAGTGAATAATATTTGTAATTATATAAACATTCGACGTGTTCGTACTTTGTGGTACCTGAATTTCTAAGGTAAAGGTATAAAACCTATATATTAACTAAGACATTTAGGTATTTTCTTACCTATAAATTATTAACATGCCTCCAACAAGAAAGAGAAGTGCATTGTGGAATCATTTTAGTGAGCTTACGGACAACAAAGCTAAATGTGGTTACTGTGCACAAATTTTGAGTATATCCAATAAATCCATCGGTAATTTGAGCAGGCACATGAGACTAAAACATCCTACAATTCAAATACAATTAAGCAGACAACAGAATACAATTCAACAGCAGTCATCAACATCAATACTAGACCCAGTACCATCTATGTCATCATTTACATCTCTATCTCAAAATGAACTACCTGCAACGTCACATATCTCCCTACCGTTAACTTCTCATAGACCACTAAAACAATGCACCATGACAGAATTTATTCACAAACCCGTGCCTGTTAAAAAAATAAATGAGATCGACAAACAAATTATCAAAATAATTGTCAAAAATTATCACCCATTTTCGCTCGTAGAGCAACCAGAAATCAAAGAATTGTTCGCCATGATTATTCCTGGTTATAGCTTACCAACTAGAAAAACTGTATCAAACAGTCTTTTGCCAAAAATGTATCAGGAATGTTTGGAAAAAGTTCAGGTTAACATAGACTCCGCATGGGCTGTCTGTCTAACTACCGATACCTGGACGTCGATAAATAATGTCAGTTTTGTTTCTGTCACCGCCCATTATTTAGATAATACTTACATTATGAGGTCATATCTTTTAGATTGCTTTTCATTCTCTGACAGACACACGGCAGAAAATTTGTGTCAATCTTTGCAGGCAAAAATTGTCGAATGGAAGATACAATACAAAGTCGTTGCTGTAGTAAGTGACAATGCCGCTAATATCTCGGCTGCAATTAGGATGGGCGGATGGAAACATATCAGATGTTTTGCTCATTCTGTAAATTTGGTTGTACAATCAGGTTTAAAAGATATTAAAAATATTGTCTTAAAAGTGAAGTCTATTGTAGAATATTTTAAAAGTAGTTCGTCAGCATTAACAAAATTAAAAGAAATCCAACAGCAAATGGGTCTTCCAGAATGTAAGTTAAAACAAGACGTAGTTACACGATGGAACTCGACACACGATATGTTAAATCGATTCCTTACATTAAAATAGGCCATAATTTCTACTGTGGCAATACTCGGCACAGATCTGGAAATGTTAACACCAGAAGACTGGAAAATCGTTGACCTCGCGATTAAAATATTGGAGATATTTTACAACGTCACAGTAGAGATGAGTTCAGAAACACAAGTTAATCTAAGTAAAGTAATTGTGTTGACAAAAATTATGATAAAACACGTTAATAAGCATATTAATGAGGACACTGGATTACCTGCGCAAATAATATTATTATTGGACACCCTGAAGCAGCAGTTGTCGGATAGATTCCAAAATATTGAATCCAACCCTCTGTATGCGGAAGCAACAATTTTGGACCCGCGCTTCAAAGGTTTCGCGTTCAGAGAACAAGAAAAATTTAATATAGCTGTAACGACCTTAAGACGACGTTTAGCAAATACAGCTACTGAGACGGTCCGTGGTATTACCACGGAGACAACATCTGTAACTATGGCTGAAACCGCAACTCAACCTGTGGCCGCAACATCAGCATCGCTTTGGGACGATTTTGATGCTGAACTGAGTCAGCATCTCAGACCGCGAAATCAAATGGCAGCAGGAATAAGAGAGCTAGATAAATATTTAAATGATGAAATGCTGCCTAGAAATCAAGATCCCTTAATTTGGTGGGAAAGCAGAAAAGGGATTTATCCTATTCTGCACCAATATGCAAAAAAGAGATTTTGCATTACTGCAATATCTGTTCCATGCGAACGCGTTTTTTCAAAGGCAGGCCATATTTTGAATACGCGTCGAACAATGCTTAAAGATGATAAGGTTTCAAAAATGCTATTTTTAAATTACAATTTTAAGTAAAACCATAAAAAAATGAAGAAAAAAAACAAAAAAAATCAAAAAAAGACTGTAAATATTATCAAAAAAATCACTGTAAATATAATCGATTTTTAAATACGCCAGCTGGCCATAAATTAAGGACTAGCCGCCAGTCCTAAGCATGGATAAAGTACGAAGGGGAATCGATTTTGTATACAATCTTATTACAGAACACAATAAATAACCTAAGCACTTAATTAATTCAGCATTATTGCCACATAACATTTCACTGACTCGGTCAGTAATAAACGCCCGCAACGCAATGTACTCGTAACATTCTGTATTTTATATCTTTTGAGTCGATGATCCAAATGATACATATCAGTGTTTCGGAACATTTCAGTGATCGAGATACAAATGTTCCAATCGCAAAAATGATACACTTTGCCCACCTCCAGTTTCGGGTGCTTTGCAGCACCGATGATCACGGGGGACTGAGGTGACTGACGTCCCGATGTCAAAGTTAACCCGGAGTACCTTCAGCTTTTTAATTATTGTCTTTGGTCCGATCTACGCAGAATGAACTAACTGTGTTAACTAATTTTATTAATTATAGGATCACAAGCAGGTGATAGTACCCATCCTCCTTCTCTATTGAAATTAGGATGTTTTTTAATTTCAATAGCCTCACTTGTCATCCTTGGTAGGAATCGATGTTCTTTCGCGAGGATTTGTGGTCTATCAAATCTGATGTAATGGTTGGGGCCATCTAGGATATGATCGCAAACTGCAGACTTCCCGGAACGTTGATGCTTCACGTCAGCTATATGTTTTTTTACGCGGGTTCTAATTGAATTGTTCTAATTGACATCGGGACGTCAGTCACCTCAGTCCCCCGTGACCATGGGTGCTGGAAAGCACTCGAAACATCGGGTATTGAAAATAAATAAAAAGAGACTAAAAGTAGTTTTAATCAAGTAACAATCAAATCAATTTTATGTGGTGGTCAGGGTCATCTATTAGCATAATAAAATATACATATAAGAAAAAGACCTACTATAAGAGAAGATGAGGGCACTGCACTACACAACAAAAAACTTTTAGCACGCAACAGTTTGACAGCAGATCTACCACAAAACTCGGCGCTTAAAATGGCGATGCAGTCACGCATGGATGAGCTAATGACGTCACATGAAAGTGTTGTCTATATAAGCAATTGTCAAATTGTAGTTGTCTCTTTTTTCAAATGAAGCTACTGCTTTTTTTAAAAAGAAACAAAACTGTTTTTGACAAGTGTGTGTCGATATTAAACATATTTGTATAACTATTATTTCTATAGTAGAATATGCCGCCTCCATAGGTATTATATCTCTATGGGTCAACAGTACCTATAGTAGTACCTATCATATTTCTTTGACAGTCTGTTATCCCGTATATCCAGGAACACTAAAGTTAGCCCTGCGAAAGCAATTAACATTTTTTTTAAATTAGTAATGAAATACGTTAGCGATGATATTTTTTGTAAAACTTACAGGAATTATATTTTGATTAAGATGAAACATACGTTTAAAAAATTCACATCCGGCATGGATTTGATAAGATCCTTATATAACGGAGCATGGACTTACTGGAAAAAAATTTGGGTTTATCCGGAGTTTTTTTTATTATTGGAATTATTAGTGATAATTTAAAATTATTATCTATACGTAGATTTATTAAGTTTCTAAATATTTTAACTGTAACACACCTTCTATTTTAATAAGAAATATTACTGAATACGTATTTTATTACTATTTAAAAAAATCTCTTAATAATGATAAAAAATGATAAACATAAATTACACTTTCTTTTTTTTTAGTATAATTTGTTTTAACAACACAACAAAAAAATTTCTTTTTTGTCTTTTAAAGGAACCGCTTAAAAAGTAGCATTGACACATGCGCAGTACAGGTACGTCTGTATAATTATGTAGCTAAATAAAAATTGTTCATTTAACCAAAAATAGATATATTTTGATAGAACAAAAGTATTTTACTAAAGAACAAACATTAATGAATATAAAAAGATCAATAATAACGAAAGAAATTATGAATTGGTGTGTGGGGGGGGGGACTAACTATAAGGCAGGTTTTTAATTAATTTTTATAAATAAATTATTGACGAACAAACAATTATTGATATAGAACAATCAAGAACAAACCACGAAGTAACAATATGTGATAATGAAATTTGAAAAAAAAATTTCGGGAGCTTACTTTAGTGAGCCGTATATCCCATACTTCATATTATTTTGTGAGTATATCAGTTGTTCCACAGACATATATAACAAATAATTCGTTCGGATACACCACAGAGTGCAGTAATAGAATATGATATCATTTAAAATGTAGTGATTATACAACACGCAACATAATTAACGCACATTGAAAAAGAAGTTTGTTCAGAATCGTTTACTGAATCGATTTTTAATATAGGTAATTTTTTATCCCAAAAATAATTGAAACTACGTAAATTACAGTCACATTAAATCTGTACAGTCAAAACAAACTAAAATGGACCGTAACTTAAGGCAATAAGACTTTTAAGAGTTCAGTTTTATTTGTATTATTACTAATTCTGTCATTCAATAAAAATAAAGAAAAATGAGCTTTATTTCAATCACGTTAAAGTCTTTGTGTTCGTGGATTAGTACTGTGACCACAACATTCTTCCGGAATTAGTATAACTAATTTGATAAATAATCAGTCCATAAAAATGTTTAACTAAAAATTCAGTGTATTTATTATGATTATAACATAATATACTAATTGGGGTGTCTGAGGGTGTGCGTTAATTACTTTACATATTGTATACTCTCCTAGCATTCTATTTAGTCTGTTAGTGTCAGTAATAAATACCTATACTCCACCCAAATTTTGGCGGGAACTTGACCGTCGACGGATTGTTGCTCCTGTTTTATCGTTTGAAAAATAGTTTGAAGTAAATTTCAATGCGTAAAAGTGATGCCTTAATTTTGAATTTGAATTATTTTCTATATATGCATTTTCTATATATACATTTGAATAATTTCGCAATGTACGTATCAGCATATTGTGAAGAAAAATCTATACAAACAAAGGTCACTAATGATATGAAAACATGGTTTAAAAAACAAGCATCCAAGACAAAAAAATTAATACACACAAAAATAAAAATATACTATATACAAATATGTAAAAAGCATCCTAGACAAAATCGACGATAAAAAAATCGCAGTAGGCCTCTTGCTCGATATGAGTAAAGCCTATGACAGAGTCTGTTATAGAACTCTATTGGAAAAACTGTATCAAACAGGAATTAGGGGAATAGCTCATAATTGGTTCAAATCCTATCTTGATAACCGCTTCCAATATGTAGAAATTGAAAATACCAACTTCGAGACAGGCAAAATTACTCATGTCAGATCGGATGCAACTCTCATTTCTGGCTCTATCCCTCAAGGTAGCGTTTTGGGTTGTATTTTGTTTCTTATTTACATAAATGATCTACCAAACATACTGGACGATCTATGCGTGCTCTTTGCAGATGACATCTCCATATTAATCTCTTGCACTAATTCCACAGACTTAACTACAAAATTGAACTATACATTAGATAAAATTACTGGCTGGCTACAATTACATAATTTACAACTTAACCTTAATAAAACTAAAATTATTCAATTTAAACCCTACCAAAAAACTGGTTTACAAATATCGTTTAACTATAAAAATACAAAACTAGAAACTGTTAACTCTGGCACTTTGTTAGGAATAGACCTGGACACACATTTGAGTTGGAAACAGCACGTACAAAAAGTTGCAAAAAAAATATCCTCATTTATTTATGCACTGCAACACCTTAAACGTGTGACAGATTTTAAGACTGCCCTTGCGGCTTACTATGCACATGCTCACTCCGTACTCTCCTATGGCATCATCTTGTGGGGAAACTCTTGTGATATAAACAAATTATTTATATTACAAAAGAAGTGTCTACGAATATTGATAAATTTGGACAAAATGGAGTCATGTAAACCCCACTTCATTAAAAATAAGATTTTGACACTTACATCTATCTACATCCTCGAATCTTGTAAATTTGTTAGGAAGCACCCAAAACTCTACTCACCTATTAAAAAGACTAAAAGAAATAATAGAAATTTATATAAGCTTAAGATACCCTTCTCCAAATTAAAATTAGTTTCAAACAGCCCTCACGTTATGTCAATAAAGATTTATAACCATTTACCAAATTCCATAAAAATCCTGGAAAATCCTGTGCAATTTAATAAACAATTAAAAATATTTCTTATTAATAAATGTTACTATAATTTAAATGAATTTTTTGACGATAAATAACGATAAAGTAAGAATACTTAGACTATTCATTGTGTTTCAAATTAAATTAATTTATATAAAATAATATTGAATGTTGATGATATGATAATTTGTAATTTATGTTTAAAAATTAGATAATACGAAAATAGTTAGCCCTCTAGTGTTGCTATGCCCTTGCGGGGCGTCACATGTATACCGATCAAAATTGTACCATCTTAAATTTGTAATGTGACATGCAATAAACAATTTGAATTTGAATTTGAATTTGAAATTATACCTTATACTTATACTCATGGAGGTTAGAGAACAGGAGAACGATCGCTGTAGAAAATAGTGTCCCAGAAATATGGACAAAATAAGTGAGGCACTGCGATCGTTAAGTTGTCTGAATAAAAGCAGGCTGTTGCTAGTTTGAAATGATTATTACATCATTCAAAGAAAAAAAGAAAATAACGAAACTATTATTATTTATTAATAAATAAATTATTTTTTTATAATTTTAATCATTATAAATATTATAAATTATTACAAATATAAATTGTTAATTACTTTTTATTTATTATTATTAATATTTCACAATTTTTTAATGTTTCTTTTTGTTAATAATTAAAAAAATTCTACAAATTTTCAAATCCAAACGGTCTATGCTTTAGTACCATAGACTAGATAGAGAAACTAACGTTTTTTAGTACGTAGCGATTATTCTCCTGTTTTCTAACCTCCAATCTTAGGCTGGATCATATATACAGTAATCTATGGGCTGGATTTAGTGCTATGCGGACGGTCCGTACGGACGACCGTCATCCGAAGCTATCGTATAGAAATCAATTACTGTGTTTAGTTTAACACGGCCTGCGGAGCGTCCGTCCATCCGGAGAAAAATAATACGTCGAACGCGTCCGTGCTCCGGACGTCCGCATCAGGACGCGCTAGGTATCTATACGAAAGCGTTTAGTGCTGTGCGGACGCAAACAGATCCGGACGTGTGTGCGGGACTGTCAACAACGACAATGTCTGCGGAGAATCTAGACACGGAACGTGTCATAACAGAAGTCCGAGGTCAATCATCATTATGGGATCTTAGCGATATTTTGTAAAGATCGTGATGCGAAACTACAAGCGTGGACAGAAGTATGCTGGGCATTGTTTCCTGGTTATGATGATTTACCAGATAAGGAGAAACAGGAAATTGGTAAGTACATACAATAGTATAATAGGTGGGTACAATCCTCGAGGCCTGCTTGCATTTGCGTGAGTGCACATACCTACATAGTGTAGGTGTGATGTCGCCCTAGAGTGCGACACGTCCTTTGCTTGGTTTGAACCGGTTTATACTGCTTTTTTGCGATCGGCCCGAGGCGCACTCACACAAATGAGAAGCTCAGAGACCTCGCGGACTGTACATATATATCATTGAGTAAAACACGCTAATTATTTATATCATTTAAATACTTTATTGAAAATTTTCGTATAGGTAATAAATTAAAATATTGAATTATTTTGCCAAGGCACTGCACCTGCGGTAGATACAATATAACTGGCGAATCTTTCTCTCAATGCGTCGCCCGATCTAACAATTATGTTATCATGGATGTTAAAATCTTGTAATCATTCAATAATAAATGTATCCTCTTGTCTATAGCCATCTCGCTCTTTAATGTAGTTGTGTAAAATACAACAAGTTTTTACGAGTGTAATCGTGTTCGGCAGAGACGTATTTATTGCTCTATGAAATATTTTAAATTTATTTGTCATTATTCCGAACGTAGATTCAATATACCTTCTTACACGACTTAACAACAGTTAAAGATTTTTTTTTGTGAGTCATATTACTTCGTGCGTAAGGTTTTAATATTTTGTTCGATATACCGAATGCACCATCACCAATTATCACGTGCTGCAAAGGTACAGATGTATTCGGCAATAGTTTAGCAGGAGGTAAATTTAATGTCCCGTTTTGCAATTTAGTATACAAAGTACTTTCTTTAAAAATTGTTGAATCCGAGTCTGTTCCACAAGAACCTATATTTACATATGTAAAACGATAGTCTGCATCGCACATTGTCAATAGAACGTCAGAGTAATGTTTTTTGTAATTGGTAAATAAACTGCCACTGTTCTTGGGGCAAGTAATTCTCACATGTTTCCCATCGATTGCTCCAACGCAATTAGGAAAGTTAGCGTTCTGTTGAAATCCTGATGAGATTTTTAGCCATTCTTCCTGTGAACTAGGTATCGAAATACATTCTTGAAGCACTTGGCAAATGGTTGTGCTTACTTCTTTGACGATGAGAGAGATTGTTGCAGTGCCCATCTGATAACTGAAGTAAAGATCTGAGTATATTTGTCCAGTGTGGTACCTGAAATAAATAACAACAAAATTAATTATTTGTTACTTGTTTCAGTAAAACAGGTACAATTACGGTGGAGAACTGTGCGTGACGCATATATGAAATGTAAAAATGCTTTAAAAAATGTGAAGTCTGGATCAGGTGGTGAGAAGAAATCCAAATACGTGTATTTTGCACACATGCAGTTTCTGGACAAAAACATATTGTTGATACTATTGAATCTATTAATGAATGTCAAAATACGAATGAAACATACAGCTTTACACCACCTAGCCACTCTACGCACAATCAATCTCAGTTGCCTTCAACAAGTCGAGATGCTGATAATTCTTCAGGAATTACGCTTACCCCACCCACCATCTCTGCACCAAACCGAACTACATTTCAGAAAAACCCAAAAAAACGTAAATAACGCGAGGATTCAGCTTTTGATAAAGAAATGTTGAATATTTTTAAAGAAAACAGTGAGATGATAAAAAACGACGATATGGCATTCTTCTCTTCTCTATTACCTATTACAAAATCATTCAACATTCGCCAAAAACTATTATTTCGGTCAGAAATACTTCGCAAAGCTATGGAAATTTCAAATAGTACTGCAGGTTTTCCCTCAATGTGTGATCATAATCATTTTTTCACTTGCCCTGTATCTACCTCTCGCCCTGGATCTTCTACATCTACCTGTACATCATACACGATCACATCACCAGGCTCTCCAGAAGATGTAACGTTGTACACAGTTGAAGAAACTGAAGCTCTAAATGCAAATGTAGCCTCTCAAATGCAGCTGTCTGAGCAGCAGTATTCATCGCAAGCATTGGGTAATTTTCCGCAAGAACCTATCGCTTCTCAAATTTAACTATCTGTACAGCAGTATTCATCGCAAGCAGTAATTAATATGTCTGATTTTATTAAATTTAAGTGATTTTTCAGTAAGCACCTACCACCAATATAATTATAGGTAAGTAAAATAAGTAAAAGAAACAAATATTAAATTGAGTTTCTGGAGTATTCCTTTTACACCCTGTATTTAATTAAGAACAATAAAGGGCGCACTTAACGTAATGTTACGGCCAATCTTTCAGTTGGAGATACTGGAACTCTAAACATATTATTATGTTTGATATAATCTTGAATTTTTACTAGGAGTTCGTCAAAGCTGTTAATTGACATTCCAAAATAATCGAAAAATTTTTCGTCAAAATTTCGTAATTTCGAATACAATTTATGAAATTCTCCATCTAGTAATCGATCTGCAATTATAGGGTGAACATGGTATCTTCTCCTATTCTTCTTTTTATGTAACTGCCTTAGGTAGTAGGCAGCAACTACGGTGTTTAAAAACGGATACATTTTCTGCGCGACGTTACTTGTCCGAGCCGTACGTTGCTCCGTAGAGCACTAAACGGTCGACCGACCGAATGCTCCGTATACGGACGGTCCGTACGGTCGTCCGTACGGACCGTCCGCATAGCACTAAATCCAGCCTTATACTCGTAGACAGCTGTCTACGCTTATAATCTGTTAAATTTAGCTTGATAATTTTGACAGGTCACTCTAGAGATGGGGTGGTGTATAATCGTTAATGAATCTATTCTATTATTATTCTCACAAAACTTGCAATCGACAGTTGCATGTTTATGCTGTATGGATTTGAAATTTTTAACAATTTCTTATCTATTGAAATAATAATAAATTATTAATACGATAATGAAATCCCTCCCATAATAACGATTTCGTCTCGTGCATATTTTTTTGGTCAGTCGAACTATTAAGTAAAATACCTGCGAATCGAAATAATTTTTATGAAAGAGCTTAGTGTGAAATAAAAGAAGGAATTGTACTTTAAGGTTATATATTATTATAATAACGGTACACAACCTAAATTAAGTTCATTATTTTCATCATCATCATTACTAGGCTCACAAACTCCGTCAAAGTTGACATTTTGCTCCCAGTTTTCTCGTACATATCTTTTAGTGTGTTCCACGACTTTTCTCCAGTCATCCGTAGTAATGTTAGCATAGGCATTTCACAACAAAGTTAGCATTTTCTTAGTCGTAAATGGTGGAGAATATTGTTAGCTGCATAACCTATAAAAATAAATGAAGTTTCCATAGATAGTAAACGTAGGTACTACGTATAATGACAGAAAAAACCTTTGACATGGCCCCCATTCGACGGCATTGTAATGGCAATGATATGGTGGCAATCTACGCCGTTGTGGCCATATTGTTCAGCGATTTCATCCAAAATGCAGGTTGGCCTTCTGGATTTGGTTTCTTTCGCTAATCGGACCAATTCGTGTTTCAACTTATGTTTTAATTGGCTTCCATGCCTTTGCTCGGTAGTCAAAATATAAGCAGCAGTTTTCGGTTGCTGGATGTTGGAGCTATGTTCTTTTGTAAGGAATGGTACGGCGCATTATCCATAATAGTCATATGTGGTTCATAAAGATTTTTCAGTAATGTTAAAAACCACTCTTTGAACTTTTCGAAATTCATCACCTCATGATATTCTGTTGTTTATGTTGATTTGAAAGCAAACAAAAAATTGGGTACGTAACCATTTGCCGTCCTTGCGTGCCCAATTACCAGGCGTTGTCCTTTGCTTTCGGGCACTTTGGTGACTGATGCTGCCTCACTCAGTCTTCAGCTTTCACAGTTGGCTGTTACTGGCAGACAGATCTCTGGCAAAGACTTTGGAGCCCTGGTTCCGCTCGATCGCTTCTTCAATACGAGCAGTATTGAAGTTGCGCAAGTCTCGCCGCATACATTTGGAGATCTGTCTGTTCAGTTGCCTGTATGCTGTCAAATCTGTTGACGATTGCAGCCCGTCTCATCTCCCGTCTAACAGCTATGAGATTAAGAGTGTTATCGGAGAGTTTTTGTGTTCTTCTGCGGCGGGTCATGCAGAACTTAGGTCCGACCGCATGGACAGTTTCCACGAGCTTGTCATTCATATCGTCAACTGCATTGCAATCTTCTAGGCACTGAAAGCGGTTACGTAACTCGAGCTGAAAAGTCTCGGGATTCTGGATCAGAGCACGAGGGGGACGGAGCGTTGACTTCATTAGACGAGACCTCTCCAACTTAACGTTTAGGTTCAGTGTGCCTCTAACCATTCGGTGATCGCTGCAAGTTTTCACCCTTGCGATCACTGAGACATCACTGAACAGTTGGCGTCTGGTCGTCATAATGAAGTCAATCTCATTTTTTGTCGAACCGTCGGGTCTCGACCAGGTCCACTTCCTGTGGGGCCGCTTCCGGAAGAAAGAGTTCATCATAAATAGTCCCTCTTTCTCCATAAAGTCGGCCAACTGCTGGCCCCTACGGTTCCGTTGCCCTACTCCAAATTTCCCTAACTTCAGCTCACCACTTTCTCTTGTGCCTAGTTTTGCGTTGAAGTCTCCCATCAACACCGTGTAGTGAGTTTTGGAGGAATGCATGGCTCTAGAAATATCCTCATACATTTCCTCCACCTCCTCATCGGGATGTGCCGTGGTTGGTGCGTAAACCTGTATGACCTTCAGCGAATACCGTTTGGTGATTCTGAGTATCAGGTACGCGACCCTCGTCGACACACTCCCAATCTTTACAACGTTGTTGACGAGAGACTTGTGGACGATAAATCCGACACCTCCTTGGGACAGATGGTCGCCCTCCCGGTGGTAGAACAAGTTGCCGGACTCGAGGATTGCCGTGTCCTCCCCCTCTCTTCGGATCTCGGATAATCCAATAATATGCCAGCGCAACTTGTCTACCTCTTCTTCCAGCTCCAGTATCTTCTCGTCAGTCCTTAGGGTGCGTGCGTTATATGTTGCCAGGTCGAGTCGTCGTAGGTGGCAACCGAAACTCCACCGGAGATTCTTAGCACCCCCTGCCCCGCCGTTACCATGGTCGCCTTCGTAGCCAGGAATAGCGGGGCCGCCGGAATCTGGGAGCCGTTTGTTTGCGTCGTTATTCATGGGGGGATATTTGCCGTAGTTGCCACGCTTGGCGAGCATGTTGGCAACCGCAGTTTTTTTTTGTGTTAGTGTATTGTTATTAGGAAGATGCTGCTGCCCATCTCCTGTCCGTACTGTCCTGTCCATTAATAGAACATATTTTGCCAATAAAGAGCCAATTCAAATACATATTTACGTAACTTTAACATATATGTTAAATTTACGTAAATATGTATTGGAATTTCCATTACATAACATATAAAAGTTACGTAAATATGTATTGGAATTTCCACTATATAACATTCTCTCTTTCACACATCTTTATCTCAATCTAAAAAATTTTTATAAAGAAAATTTTGCCGGGTCGAAAAAAGCTTCTTCCGAACTGAATGAAAAATCTTTGATAGATAAAGAATAACGGATTGTGATTGAAAAAAAAAATTCATTGAAGAAACTGAACTTATTAAGTGTTAACTTAAGAAAAAATATAAAAGTGAGAAAAGGCCTTTGTAGTGACAACTCAAAGTTTGTCTTTTCTGTTTGCGCATACTCTATGTTCAAACAACAATAATTCTTAAAGTAATAAACATACAGCTGTAATATTTATGTTGTATTGTATCTTAACTCAAAATCTGTCGATCTAGTATAAAAATAAACAGGGTAAACGGGGTTGTTTTTGCAGTAATTTACAATAATTAGCCGATTAGCATAATTTTTTGATATTTATTTGAAGTTAATTTTTTTTCTTTAAAGATAACGTAAACGATAGAATATATGTTGCCCCCGAATGAGCCAATTTTTATCTAAGTAAGGCCCAAACTTTGAGAGATACGAATTTTTTTGTAAACACGTAGAGAATATCTCTAGGAAAAAACAAAATGTCCGCCACATAGAGGGGGGAGTTGATTAGACCTCAGTGTGTAGTGTATTTTTGTATTAAAATAGCTGTATTGTAAGTACCTAGAATATCGCTAGTCCGTGACCGGACACACTATATATATATTGGGCAAATGTGTAAGTTTGTTTACATATTTATATATCTACATATATATGTATGTATATGTGTACATTATATGTTTTACTTTTTTATTATATGTATTTTTATATTTATATGTTATATATTGATGTACTGTCTATAAATCGCATGCAGTGATATTATATTATGTTTAATTATATTGCACCACCTACCTAGTTTTCATTATTCTATTCCTTACACTTTTGGTTGCCTGGAAGATATGGAGTGTATAAGTAAGGAGTACAGACTGTGTATTAAAAAGTGTCCATAAAAATTTAAATAAGGGTGGCGCCACTATAGCTACGGGGTAAATTTTAAAGAACGCACCGAAAAATATTAGTGGGATAGACGACTTTTTCGCGGTTATATTTACTAAATAAAATTATTTTAGATTTTAGAGCTACTGATCAGTTTAGCAGCACACTTAAGCCGGCGACAACTGCTGAGTTCGTTTCATCCCTGTAGCTACTCTAGCGCTATTGTGGAGAGTTTTTGAGCTGTTATTTACTTAATGATTTCTTAAACTTACGCGAACACTACACATTGAATAAGACTATTATTTACGGATTTTATCGCGTTTAATTACTTTAATTTATTTTTATTATTATCCCGACGTTTCGGGTGCTTTACAGCACCCATGGTCACGGTGGGGGGGGACTGAGATGTTTGACGTCCCAATGTCATAGTTAGTCCGGCTACCTTCAGTTTTTTTTTAATATTAATTTTTGGTCCGATTTACGCAAAACGAGCTTATAGTATCATGAAGTCTTGCAGTGGTATGCTTGGGTTTTGGTTTAATTTTGTTAATTATAGGATCCCAAGCAGATGGTAGCACCCAACCATCTTCTCCATTGAAATTTGGATGTTTTTTAATTTCAATAGCATCGCGTATCATCCT